AAGAACACTGTTCCTTGAGGAAGCTGTTAGGTCCTTCTCCCTGCTTCTTCCTGAAAGGTGTGAAAAAAAAAAAGCAAGACAGGCCAATGTTCACCTAATTTTTCAGCAGCTCAGTTTTCATGGGCTTATTGCTCACTGAGTAGCATCCGCTCAGTGCTGCTTCAGCTTACAGCCATCAATCACAGCTAATATCAGCATATTTGAAAGATAGAATAATCCCACACAACAGTCATGCAGGAGCATGACTGGCTACAAAGCTAGCAGAAATCACATGGAGTCCTGGAGGCTATCAAGTTGAGTATAAGTCAGAAGTAGACTTTTTAATTACAGCTGTGAAGGCTAATTTCACACATTCATGGAAGTGGAGGAAGCAAGTCGAGAGGAATGATTAGTCTCTTCTTGGCACTTGTGAGGTGTCATCTGGAATAATGGGATCAGTTTTGGACTCCCTGTACAGAAAAGACTGACAGGAGACAGTCCAGCTTTGAACCACTAAGATAATTAGGGGGCTGTAGGCATGGTACATGAGAAGAGAGGAAAGGCTGAGTTATTTCAGCCTAGAAAGAAGCAGCTTAGCTTTCTCTTGTGTCTAGGAGGGGAGCTAAATGTTGTCTTCAGATAATAGGTGGCTATAGAGAAGGTGAAGGCACCTCCTCTGTCCATAGTGAAAGGATGGATGAAATAGTTACAAAGTGAAGCAAGGGAAATTCTAATCAGATATATAAAGAAACAATCTTTCCAGTGAGGGTGGTAAAGACTGGAACAGGTTTCCCAGAGAGCCAGTGGAATTTGCATTCTTGGAAATATTCAGAACTTGGCTGGACAGGGCCCTGAGCAGCTGGATTTAAATTTGAAGCCAGTAATGCGTTTATTAGCAGGTTGGACTGCAGACATCCAGACACTGCTTCCAACCTAAATTGTTCTCTGAGTCTATGAAGCTCAAGTAGTCTGCTACAGCATGAGTCTGCTACACCCTGTGTCAGAGAAACCCTCAGGGAGACTTAAACTTTATGATTTCTCTTAGGAATAAAGAGCTGTCTTACTGACATCTTCAGGAGACAAGGAGCTGGAAGCACTGCAGAGAAAAGATATATTGAGATATTGGGTCTCATATGAACTTATATTGTGCAGACCCAGTGTCAGCATGAAGGGGACAACTTCAGCAGTTCTGCAAAGTTGATAGAGCTTGGTGTGAGGGAATTTCTCTTTTCCTTCATGGGATCTCTCTGCATGGATCCTTGCTAGTCAGACTCGGTGCAAAGGGCATAATTTGGCCTGTCTGGGAGAGCTTGGGAATTAAGTTAACTTGTATCTGCATTGAGTGGCTGAGGGCAGTATTACAGCTAACATGGGCAGGCATTCCTTAGAGCAGTTGAAAGCTATTACATTTCAGCACTGCCTTCACTAAAACCCTAGCAATCTCTCTTCTCCTTCCTACCCTGCCCTCAGTGGGAATATCTGATTCTAACCTTTTCACTCAAATTCCATGTAGCTCCTCTTTCTTGATGCTAGAAGACAGCCTTTCACACAATAGCAAAGATTTACAAAGTGGATACAGGCACCATTGTATCATGTGTTCCGTGGCAACTATTTAGCACCCTAAGTTTGCAAAAATCCAAATGATGTTTCTGTCCTTTATTAATGGTACTTTCCATCTGTTTACAAAGAGCATTCTGCTGCTTCTTTGTTACAGGCTGTACCCTGCCAATGCAGCAAGCCCTACGGGAGGAGCTCACAATGGGATGCTTTGTAATTCACTTGCGAAGGGAAGAGCAGAGTCCCAGTGAAAGGCTGCAGGTGCACAGAGTCTAAGCCACTGTGTTGGACAGGGCTTTGAGCAGCCTGGTTTAGTGGAAGGTGTCCCTGCCTATGGCAGGGACATTGGAATTGGATGATCTTTAAGATCCTTTCCAACCCAAATCCTTCTATGATTCTATGATTCACATAAGCCCTATTCTGAATATATTGCTGCCTTCTCTGCAGTAATTTCAGTGGGGGTTGTGGGTTTGTATGGAACACAGCACAAGGCCCAGTGCTGCTCAGTGTATACCGCTCTACCTTAGGGTTTCTTTTCAATCTTTATCCCTGAATATGGGCTTGAACTTTGAATTGCCAGTTAGAATTGTTCCTAGTAGAAACTTTCTGTAGGAAATTCTATCCACATTTATTCCATTTTAGATAAAATAATATGGATACAGGAATTACAGCATTTGGAATTAAGGCTAAACTGAAAATATTATGTTTCTTTCAACAAGCTTATCAAAGCTGCTTTGGCATTTTCCATTTACAAAGGGCAATGATAAGTGTCAGCATACTTAGGAGCATCACAGGGCTGGACAGCCCTACTGCTTTTCTGCAGTCTCACAGAGCTTTTTTAGCAATTGGCTTACAGGCGATAAATGTTCAATGGCTAAGACAAGTGAGAGGAAGCACAGGAAGAGTCCTAATGAGACCCAGAACCACTGTTACCTCAGTAATGTGCTGGCATTCAGCTCAAACTGTTAGCAGGATGTAGATTTTCTGCTGAATTTATAATTCCAGCCTTAGGGATGCTATTTGCCATGTAAATCGGAATGGAAAGAAGCAGCTACAAGAGCTAGGGTAATATAAAGGTCTCTATTATTTACTGTGCTTGAGCAGGGAGGTTGGACTAGGTGACCTTCAGTGGTCCCCCCAACCTCAACCATTCTGTGATTCTGTGATGTTACTGCAAATAAAGATGTGGGGAAAGTATGAGCAGTGTAGTTGTCAAAGCTGTGATCTTCATGGATCCATATGCAGGCATTCACCCCCCAAAGTGACAATGCTGTGGTACTGATGTTTCTCTTTCATGTGGCTAAGTGCTTTTGGAGCTCTATTGCAAGCTGTAGAGCCTCACAAAGAAATTAATAAAGAGGATTAATGTAGGGAAATTCCTGCAACTGGGCAGGAATTGGTTCTGATTGTTTAATTATGTCATTTGGTGGAATCCTGTCCATTCTGGGTCTCTAAAATTCCATGCCCATTCCCATGAGAAAAGAAAGATCCCCAAGATCCAGAACTTTCTGCCTCACATCCTTCTCCAGAGGAGAACAAGCAATAGCAGAGGTGAGAAGATGAGGTGTTGTTTCTCAAGGAAAGCAGAATTTCAGAAAGGAAAGCAAGATTAAGCTTTTCCTCACCAGTTAGTGAGACACATGGCACATTGTCTCCTGGAGTTACAGATTTGTGTCTGAAATCAAAGGTGTTCTTTCTACTTGGTCCATAGGTGTTCAGCTGTTTTTCTCACAGGAAGGGGAAACAGCCACATAGAGAGCTTAACACTCCTTTGTATGTCAGCACAGAAGGTGATCATACTTTGAATGCTGCTTTTCATTGTCAAGTGTAAAATTTCATGATATTTGGAGTCATAGCTTGCAGAACATTTAATAGCCACTGTACCTCAGGTACATTATATTTACTAAGCTACCTGATTATTAGGAATCTAGGATATATATCATGACATACCTATAAAAGAACAGGTTTAAAATCAGGTTAGTCATGTGTTTTACTATTATCAAAACTACATTAAAGGAGAAAGTTCCATCTCGTAATGATGCCAGCAAGGAGCTTATATCTTGCAGCACATACATCTTTACTTGTAGATCCATTATAAAGAAAGGGAAAGGACAGAAATATAAAATTAATTGCTTCTATAATTTGAAAGTGCTGTTCATAGGTACAGAATTTTGACCAGTTTTAAATTCAAGCACCCTCACAAAACCTGACACATTTCCACAAATCTTTCCATACCATGCAGAGATATAAATTTTACATTTCAGGTTCTGCACCCCAGGACCTCAAACAAGTACTACAAGATGCAGTGTGTTTCCTACTCTAAAACCTGAATACCAGAAAGTTTCGTGACTTTTTCCTATTTTGACTTTGCACAAATCCCAGCAAGATCAAGGCCTCTCAGCAAGACTTACTTTTACATGCAACACCTCTCCATCACCTCCACAATACCATACAGACTCAGCTAGCCCAGATGTTTCTGCACCACTCCGTAGCACAGAAATGCCATGGAATGCCTAATAATGCTATGGTTAAACAGTGAGCAGTGCACTGCTTTTCTCAGTACGGCTTTGTGCAGGCACAGACACTCACTGCAGAATCCAACCCTGGTCATTCATTTTTGCCTGCATCAGGAATTTTCCCAGAACATGAGAGCTGAAGTGGTATCAATAAATTGTGTGAAAAACCTGCACTTTTAAGATCCAAAAGGATTTTAAATGGTTTGCTTAATTTTGATTGAGCTAACCAAACAGAAGAAAAGAAGTTTCATATCATGCCAGCCTGGAAACATATGATCCATCTCTGACTAGCAAATCTTTTCTTTAATGAGGCAAATTTTGAGAGAAAATCAGAAACTTTTCACTAAGGAGGTATAGAAATAAAACATGATTTTTTACCCCTCTGCTTTTTCCCCTTTTTTTGTGCCAAAGCCATTTAGTCATATCTAGTCTAAAATCATACAGAACACCAGACTGAGGCTTTTGGCATGATCTTTAACTGAAAAGATTCACTTTTCTTTGACTGTTGCTCCAGTTGTTTTACATATAAGCCACTAGGTATCTGTTCCTCCCCCTTCTGAGATTTAAAGTTCTTCTTTAATGTTAGATGTCTGATGTCCTCAAGAAAGAATTTTGGTTAGAAGCATGGAACTTCAGTTAAGAGAATGGTTCTGTTTCTTAGGACTGCTGGTTAAAGGTACAGGGCTGTAGAAAGCAGTTCATGCTTTCATCAATCACAGACCAGAAATGAAGGACACAACTTCCTGAATGCCCTGGACAGTTCTTACTATACAGTAACATTTCTATCTCAGCATTCGCTGGTAAGGAATTACTTTATCTGTTATACAAGTTGTGAAGTATATTGACCATACAGGGTCCACAATTCTTTTTACAGTTTAGTTTTTAACTGAGAAAAATACCAAGTGCTAATAATGACTTCAGCAGTAATAGCAGAAGACGTTCACTTACCCTATGATGATGCAGGAGATGGCAGTTCCCAAAAAGGCGTAGGTTAAAATTGATCCTAAGTTACGAAAAAAATGCCTCTGGGGAGGAAAGTTTGAAAAAAGTGCTTTGTAATATAGTCAATAAAAGAACATTCAGATGAGGCTGAAACACTGCATCTAGAAGTGACACTTGTTACAACCCCTATCTCAATCATAAGATGAAACAATATAGGCTACATCTTGTGTTTTGGAAATACAATTTAAGACGATTAATTTTTTGCCTGGTGGAATACCATCAAAGTTTTCTCTTTTATGTGTCTGGCCAAATGCTTCAGGATCATAACAGAAGTTCACATTGAAAATATCTGATGCAAATACTATCATAACCCATCCCTTGAACAAACAAAGCCCTGATGATGCATTATATAAAACACAGGTAGGCTGCTGCCTACATGCAGTGTCACCAGATTCAAAGTGGTTTCTTCTGAAAAGAGGAATGCTGAATTGCACAGTCAATTGTAAAGATGCAGAAACGGAGAAGAATGAGGTCTGGGCATCTTTCATTTTCTTCCATTCCTGTCAAGTTCTTCCCATGCAATGTAATTGTTAACTGACTCTTTTCTCTGTCATTGGCCTGCTAGATCTAGAAAGTAGCAGTCACATTCAGTCACTTTTGTAATAAAGAGACACATACCTTCTTTAAACTATATCCAGCATGAAATATAATGGGTGGCAGCAAAATATTGAAGAAGATGGAAGGATCAAATGTCATCTGCCAGAAAGGACGAAAGAGAGGGTAAGGACAAACAAAGTAGCATTTAATTTGATAGAATAGGTTTTAATTGTAACTTCTGATCAGGATGTGATGTGACTTCTTAAACTATAATTGTATAATCAGTTCTGCTGATTATACAGTCACGAAACCTGCCAGCACAGGTTTCTGTGTCCTAAAGTTTCTCAGTAAATCTGCTGACTGCTTCTGCAGCATCATTTCCATTGTAACACATCTTGTAAAATATAAGCCTTTTCTTCCAGATTTCGATTTGAGGGTTTTGTGATGGCCTGAATTATTACCAGATCAACTATTTTACCAGTAACATCCTCAGGTACTTGCTGTTTTTTCTATTTCGATGTGTGCTGATATTTTAAGTCATATTGTCATGGAAATGAAACTGGAATTTGTTTCTGGTGACAGTTATCTATGTCTGTGTTACTGAAGATCCAATATATCAGTGTGTTATGAAACCTGAGAGGCACTGATGCTGTCCTATTGCCTACAAATCATGTATCTGTTGTGTAGGCAAATGGGGATTCCTTATATTCTCAATAAGCTAAGGACTAGTTTCAGCCATGCAAAGACTAATAGGATTTTCTGCAGACATTGCTAAGGTGCTACTTGCTTTCAGAACTGAAGGCATGCTACCAGGTTAGTCTCTTCATGGTTCCTGTTCCAAGCCACTGGTTGGCAAAGCAGCAGGTACCACTTTGTCCTCTGTTATACAGCTTTTTACACTCATATGCCTGTGTAATGACAACCCCATTCATGTGAAACACATTTTTTTTTCCCACAACAGCCAGAAACACTTTATAAAATACCCATTAAAATGTTTAAAGTAGTGCTAGAATAAGGATGGTGTTAGGCTAAGCAAAAAGTTCTTATTCCAGCTGTTGTTGGTACAATGTTCATATTTGCCTTCACCTTCAGGCACAGGGAGAGACCAAGGACAATACTCAGTCACTGCAAGTCATTACAAATAGTTTACAGTAAAACAGAATCCTATTTCAAATCCCAGTATTTCTGGAGAAAAACATATTTTGATAAGCATGTGTACTGTAGACTGTTCTGTCAGTGGGCAATATTATGCCAGTACTTTTAAACGAGACAAGATGTAATTAACACAAAGGCTTGCAGCTCCTTTGTTCAGATAAAGTGATATTTTAAGGCTATTTAAGTATTCCAGATGAATTATTTAGCTTCAAAAGAGTAAGACTTGCCCACAAAATCACTTCTGTCTTCTTACTAGCAGATAGCTTGATTTGATAAACAGGAAGTGAGAGCTCAGCCTTTTGTTCCATTCTGCTGACTTTGAATTATAAAGTTGAAAAAAAAAATAGTTGGCAAATAATGTGCCAGCAATTTTAGCTATGCTGGTAACTTCATTGAAAACATGTCAGAAAAAGGATTTTCTTCACTTGTGAACTAACAGCCTCAACTGTTAATTTTGGAATTAATTCAGCAAATATGTTAAAATATTTTTTCCACAGGCATCAGAAATCCTGACTGCATGTTTTATTATTCAAAACTGTGTTCCAAAGAATACACATTTGTAAGGCATGGCACAGTCTGTTCTTTCTGATAAATGCACTTTGTAAACTCTTAAATGGAGGTCAGAAGGGAAGTACACAAAAACCAGAGCATGGTGTCACCATGTTTTCTGGTTTTTATGTTAGTGCTTTTGCCAGTCAGGAAGGCTGCCAGGCTTTGTTACTGTCTCCTAAACACTGCTGAGTTCCTCCCTCTTTCCTTTTTTATGTATTTTCTTTTTAAGAAGGCATTTGCAAGATAATTGTGAAGGAAAAATGAGTGAAAATCCAAGCAGGCTGAAGCCTCTCCAGTAATACAGAGAAACCCACAATTCACAGCTGAGACTATGGAAAAAAGATTGGGCAATTCCTTGTAAGGGCAAGAGCAACTTCTGGGTAATTTAGTGCTCCTTTCTTGTAATACAAGTCAGCTTCAGTATACCAGGTCTGATGAAGATGTTTAAATGTAATGAATTAGTACATGTGCCTTGGAAGCTAAAGACATGCTTTGACTAGTACAAACCTCTTGCCAACATCTAACAGGAAAAAGAATGAAGAATCAGCGAAACCTGAGGAGTCTGACTGCCACAGTGTTTTCCTGTCTCCACCCACCACAACTCTAATAGTGTTCTAAAAGCCCTTGACAGGCTAGTTCTTTCTGAGAATGCAGTAAGGACAGACAGGCACATGACAGTGCTGCCTCAGCAGTGGATTTGAGCAGATGGTTAAGCCCTAATTCTGCTGAGTCCCCCAGTGTACATTCTAAGCTTAACTTAAAGGTTTTTATAATGATAAACACTATAATACACAGGGACATGCATTACTGTGCTAGATAAACACTAATACTTGGAAAAAAGGAAAATAATATATTCCAATATTGTAAGAAAACACTGTTTAGAAGTTTCATATGAATATATGATGTCTTTGAGCATAAAATCCGTGTTTTAAATAGTCCCTCTGCACTCCTGAATTCTTTAAATGGATGCTATTTTAAAAGAAAGTGAGTGTTACAAGAAGTAAATATTGCAAGGGTGGGAAAAGAGACCAGTAACGAGTAGTGTCCCTCAGGGATCGGCGTTGGGACCGGTCTTGTTTAACATCTTTGTTGGTGACATGGACAGTGGGATTGAGTGTGCCCTCAGCAAGTTTGCTGATGACACCAAGCTGTGTGGTTCGGTTGATATGCTGGAGGGAAGGAATGCCATCCAGAGGGACCTTGACACGCTTGTGAGGTGGGCTGATGCCAACCTTATGAAGTTTAACCATGGCAAGAGCAAGGTCCTACAGCTGGGTCGGAGCAATCCCAGGCACAGCTACAGGTTGGGCAGAGAGGAGATTCAGAGCAGCCCTGTGGAGAAAGACTTGGGGGTGTTGGTCGATGAGAAAATGAACATGAGCAGTCAGTGTGTGCTGGCAGCCCAGAAAGCCAACCGTATCCTGGGCTGCATCAAAAGGAGCGTGACCAGCAGGTTGAAGGAGGTGATCCTGCCCCTTTACTCTGCTCTTGTGAGATCTCACCTGGAGTATTGTGTGCAGTTCTGGTGTCCTCAACATAAAAAGGACATGGAACTGTTGGAACAAGTCCAGAGGAGGGCCATGAGGACGATCAGGGGACTGGAGCACCTCCTGTATGAAGACAGGCTGAGGAAGTTGGGGCTGTTCAGCCTGGAGAAGAGAAGGCTGCATGGAGACCTCATAGCAGCCTTCCAGTATCTGAAGGGGGCCTATAGGGATGCTGGAGAGGGACTCTTCATTAGAGACTGTAGTGACAGGACAAGGGGTAACGGGTTAAAACTTAAACAGGGGAAGTTTAGGTTGGATATTAGGAGGAAATTCTTTCCTGTTAGGGTGGTGAGGCACTGGAATGTGCTGCCCAGGGAGGTTGTGAATGCTCCATCCCTGGCAGTGTTCAAGACCAGGTTGAACGAGGCCTTGGGTGATATGATTTAGTGTGAGGTGTCCCTGCCCATGGCAGGGGGGTTGGAACTTGATGATCTTAAGGTCCTTTCCAACCCTAACTATTCTATGATTCTATGATTCTATGAAAATAATATAAGTACAAAGTGAACTATTTGAATTGTTATATACTGAAAACAGAAAATACCATGACATGCAAAAGGCTGTAGACTACCTCCCACACTTCCCTTTTTGCATCCACCATGAATTGCCACAGTGCTGTCTTCTCATGCTGGGGGATAGCCAGTGAAATCCCTGCTGAGGACCATGCAGTAATGAATGAATGTATGAGAACACTGTAAAGCATTTAGATGTTATAAAATCCCCCACTTATCTGTGGTGCTTTACATATATACAAGTTTGTATTTTTGTAAAATGTTTAAAGTTTGCAGTTACTTCTGCTATATACAGGAGGCAATCCTCCCTTGCATTGTGCTGCCAGATAAAGTCACTTTTAAGACAGAGGAGAAATTAAGATATCAATAGTGTTTATAAAGTTTTGAGGGCAATGAATCCAAGGTAACAGATACACCTGCAAGTGAACTCAGTGTCTGCAGTAATGGGACTGTCAACTGAAAGAGTTCAGCCAACTATTCTGCAAGCAGACAGTCAGTTTTATGCTAAATGATGGGCAGGTTTCTATGGCACCTTACTTCCTTTCCTGTTCTCTTTCCTCGCCTTTCTCACCCTAAATATAGAATAGCCTCTCTCTGTCTGTTGCATTTTAGCTTGAAACTTGTCTTCCTCTCTCATGCGTGTAAATAAATATCTTACACAGTTTAGAACAAAAATAATACAGGTTTTACCTTTTGAAGCATTGCATTGCCCTGGTGACCATTGACATTGTGGTGGCTGACCTCTCTTTTGTATTGATATTCATAGACCTGGTTAGTTATATTAAGAAGTAGAGTGGATCGCCCAGATTTCAGCTTTTCACATTCATAAACAGTTCCACCTTCAACATCTGAAGCTTTTGTTGCATATTGTATAATTAACCCCATTACAAGACCTGGAGAATAAAAAAAGAACAAACCCAAAGTGATTCAGGTAATTTTAAGTATCTGATGATACACAATTACCAATCAAGACAAAAATGAACTCAAAGCTAGGACACCACCTTCTCAGTGTTGCCACCTTCAAGAAGGTACACCTTACTCCACACTTCATGGATGACCATAAAACATTCTTCCAGATTGGTAATTTCATTAGAATACAGATACTTGACATATGCTCCGTTGTGCTCCTATTTTTGTAACCCAGTTGCTGGAATCATTCTGATATAGTTAACTGAGTTGCTCATTCACTTAATTTTCAATAGATATTTAGAGAAGGGGGACGCCTGCATAACTAATGTGTTGTACTGAGCATATAAAAATCAGCTTTGATTTTGGTGATTTTACAAACTTCATTCATGAGGGCAAAACTGACAGAGTATTCTCAGGCACATTCTGCTTTCTGTAGAAGGCTATATATTTTTAAGACTGTATAAACATGGGAAAATCAAAGCAGGGAGAAGGAAAGGAAGATTTAAGACTAGGATTAATTGATTTGATTATCTACAAAGACAGGCACTTTGGCTCCCTTTACAGTTAACTGAAAGGAAAATACATTTCTGCAATTGTCCTCTGGAAGGTATGTGTCTTTCTATTGGCTCTAGTGGGAGCTTGCTTAAGTTATTTCCACCCTCAGAGACTTGGATTTGGTTTCAAATTTAATTTCCATGTTTATTTTATCTCCTATAAGTCTCATGTATGATGATCAGATTTACAGCTACTAATTGTGAACACATTCATCAAATGCTAAGAATACTCAGATTGGTAGAAGACTTCTAAACATCTAGATAGATAAACTTACTAATGAGGGATAAGAAAAAAAAATTATAGGAATTAGCTGATAAGCATCTGAAAAATATTATGCCAAAATTTAAGCTTTAGCAAGCAATGAGATGCCACGGTGATAAAAGTGATCATAAAGGCCTAGAGAGATAAATAGGATGTCTTTGTTACTGTCACATTTTCACATAACAGAGTCTCTCTGAACTGCAGATTTCTATCTTTCATGTAAGGCAAGTTTGTAGCTTCCTGGACTGATGCTACAAGAGAGTAACAACTGTATCGCTTGGTTAGTATGCATAAGCATTTGTGCTTGGATTGTTTCGATTGTTTAGTATAGGTGGTTTCTTTAAACTGCAAACTTTAGATAAGCAGTAGAAAATCCCAAGGCCACTTTCTTAAGTTATGCAGCATTTGTGCAAACAAATCAGACAATGAATCTAGATTTAGTAAAAGACACAATTCCTCAAAATCTTAGGGGAAATCATATATGGGAAAAGGGGAGCAAGCATTGCGTGAGCTACTGTAAAAAATGACTTCTATGATGGTCACCCTCAGATGTCCAAAATCATGAGTCAGAACCCAGGAAACCATTAATTAGCTAAAACAGTCAGGGTTTTCATCTTATTTTCGTTAGATTTCCTTAGAAGAACCACATCTTTAATTTTCTCATTCTGAGATTTCTTGAATGTGCACTATATTGGCTATTACAGCATATACTTTGAACCAAATTCTGTTTGATTGTTTTAAAAATGAGAACAAGTATTGTCAGTCATAGTAATGCAATTGCATTGAATTGTTCAAGGGTAAGTTGTTTGAACCTGTAGTGTCAAGTTTAGACTAGGAATAGATGGCTGTTCGGTATTCTGAGAAGATATCTCAGCTGTGATCTTCAGCTGTAGTCTCAAGCTGCCTCTGTAGAAATTTTCTGGAATGGAAACAAATGCAAATACTGTAGATCCTAGTCCTGCAGGACAGCTCTTGAGTACAAATAAATCCATTTGCAGGAAAGGAGTCTTTAAAAAATATGATCATGGCAGCTGTATAGAAATAAAGGACAATGCTGACTGAGATTTGCAGCTGGAATTCAAGTTTGCCTTTTGGGTTTTCTTCTCTCAGCTTTATATCTTATCCTCTGATGGGCTCCAGAGATGAAATGATAGTGAAAGAATAGGAAAGTGTCAGAGTATCCAGCAGCATATACATATTGGAGGAATTAAATTAGAGAAGATCCTAACAATCTATATTCTCAAGGCATCAGTGGGGAATCTCTAGGAATCTCTACAATGTATTAAATTTGAACAAAATGTGTACGGGATCCATAATGATGGGCTGATTCAGAGTCTTCTCAAATGCTCTATAAAAGATTCAAAGACAACTGCTATCACTAAACTATATTGCAAGAGTCAATATAAGTGATGGGATTGTATTTTTCCTTCAGTAATAATAAATGTGCCAACCACCCTATACAAAACCCCCAGTGAGTTAAAAACGTGGGAAGAGTGCATTTAATATTTTAGTAGGTGTATCACTTATGGAATGCACTTTCTGCTTTGGATCATTATATAACATTACTTTTGTGGTGGAATTCAGGAGCCCAGATCATATCCTAATAGAAGTAATTTATTTTTAAATAGGTGTATAATGTACTTTCTGTTCCCCTACTCCCCCTTCCAAACTGAAGTAATGCTTTTGTAATGTATCTTTGGGAACAATTTTTATAGTTCAAGAAAAAAAAAAATAATTGGGAAATGTCATTTGGATGTCTGTACCATGAAAAAAAAAAAAGACTAATATTTTCTAATTTCCTCGCAACTAGAGTTTTGTGGCAGAAAAATTAAACATGAAAATTTTCTCACAAAGTTCTATGGGCTCTGGTAGGTAAAAACATACCTTCTGTACAAATAGTACAGATAGTTCTGATTTCATAGTGGCATGCATACAAAGCCTAGCTTTACCATGGGAGTCTAGGAACTAACGGCAGTTAAAAACCCCTGGATGTGAGTCAGAAAGGGTGCTACATCCATTATTTGGTATAATACATAGGTATCATACCAAGGAACTGATTAGCAGAAATAAAAAAAAATTCAAATAGTATTACATCAGTTAAGGTTGTAGGTAATTATAAACTGATGTAAGGCAAAACTTGAGTATACTCGCACAAAGTACAGCACCTATCTTGTATGCTAGGAGACCAAATCTGATTACAAATGTTTTTAGCTCAGCTTCCCCTTATTTAACACATTGTCCTTCAAAACTAATTCATGTTTTCAGCACATTTAGTTAGGTGCAGCACTGAAAAAGAAAACAGTGTAACCAATGTTTCAGATTTCTTTAAAGTCTCAATCATCCCTTGAAGTTAGATCTTGCAGCAAAATCTCACTCTAACTACAGCTCAGTCATGTTTCAATGGAAGGCAGTGCAGGTTTTCCAGCTTCTTCAGTGGAAGCAGGATAAAATCCTTTCATAGAGTATTATAAAGGATTTCTTAAGTCACTCATTCCAAACTCCTCAGCTAAACAGGACTGTTCTTTCCTCAGGATTTTATCTAGTCAGCTGTTAGATGCCTTCCTTAATAACAACACTCAGGGGTGCAGTTTTAGCATTACTTGATTTCCTCAACATTTTAGAATGTCTTCCAGATTTCTTTGTTTGCCTCAAAAATGTTATTCCTCTCTTCACCTGCCCACTACACAATGTCAGTTTCTGCCTTGATCATGATTTTCCCACGCCCTCTGAATCCTGACAATCTTTCTTCATTATGAATGTTGTAGTCAGGAAGACAATGAAGTACTCTATTTTACTGGGGGCTAGAGATTCCTCTTTTTTTCTGCAACTTGTTACATCCATTGCTGCCTTTGGGCTTCTCAGAACACACAAACAGAAGGAAACTACAATTATTTCAGACAAGAGGCATAATGGATTTAGAAGGTGTAAGAATCATATTGCCTAATCGTTAGAGACCTCCACCAAAGTTTAATCAAGAACCCTGATTGTTCCTCACTTCCAAATGTGCTGCATGGGATCCTCAGAAGGGCTACTCTGAGTCAGCATTCACGCTGCCCACCTGCCAGGTGATGAACAATTGGAGGAAAGAAAAAAGGAGTGGTAGACCTTCAATCCCCCCCTTCCAATCCCCTCAGAACTTCCAGAAGGATCTCTAACCATTACAACACAAACCCATTTCTTGTGAGTGCTACAATGGCTGTGTTCTGTCATTCATCATTTTAATGTTTTCGCTCCAGTCTGATCAAATAGTCCCACAGAGCAAAACTTTGAAGGCAGGTACATCTTCAATCTGCCTCAAAAATGTGTATTGTATTGGTGGGTTGATTGGTCGTGATTGGGGTTTTTTGTTGTTTATGATTCTGTGAAAGTTTCTTTCTGGCCACCTCTTGGAGGACTAGCCTCCTAATCAGAGGTAGCTGGTGGCACCTGTATGTAGCCCTGATACCTAAATTCTGGGAAGGGTGAGAAATCTGGATTCTCAAACCTAGGTTTTCAGTGTGTTAGCTCTGGGTTATTCCCGCGCTAGTGCGGAGGGCCATGACTTATGTATTATATAGGGAATTTGGCATCTAGTATTTTATGACCGAGGTACCTAATGATCCCAGGCCCTGTAGCAGATGGCTAATAGACACTGAAGTCTTTTATTGTCTAGTCTTAGGGCTGTTTTCTGGGGTCTGGTGTTGAAAGAGGGGCTACGTACTCTTACCTGAGATAAGTGGCATTCAGTTTTCATCACTGCTTGTGTAGATAATCTACCACACTAATTCTGACTGTACTGTTGTACAGCAAATGGTGCTGATAATATATATAAAGGATGCTACTCCCTTTCTGGGTGGCACAAAGTTACTCTTTTATATCCACCTGCCTCCTTATCCAGAAATTGGGAAGTAAGTAGAGTTTACTATTTTGGGTCTGTTTGTCAAAGCAAGGTAAAGTGTTCAGGGAAACTTGCTCTCTGAGATATTGGAAAATCAAAGAATGAATGAACAACTGGGTAAGTGTGTATTTTTCTTAATTGTTGTGAGTAACTTTTCAGTATGGCTTCAAAACAAAACAATGTGAGTGTTTAAATACTTTCAAGCTAAGTGCCTTGAAATATACGTATACATATATATATATATGTACACAGGCGGGGTTTTCATTTGTGAAATAACGTGAAGTCCCTGTTGAACTAATTCTGGGTTATGCTATATGCTTTTGTTTTCTTTTCTTACAACTGCAGAAATTTTTGAATTTAAATATAATTATATTCAATTATAGTTACACCATTGCTTTGATTTAAAAAGAAAAGTCTCAGTTCTTAAATGTAATTTAAAGTTTCTAAATGGACAGTTTTCCAGTATGGGCTTTTTCTAGCTGGAAATATTCAGCCTAAAAATTAATTTATTACAAAGCTTATGTAAACTCATCCTTCTCCTCCCCTCTCCCCCGTTAAAACCCAGACCTTTTCTTTGTTCTAGACTTTAAATAGAACTTTCTATCGGGCTGTTCTTAGTGTTCAATTTGTGGCTGTTCAGCAATTTGCAGTAACTGCAAACTTCTTCCTGTTTTTGTACTTCTGTGGTGTCTGACCCCCCCCCCCCCCCCGATCTTCCTCCTGCTTCTCTTTCTCTGTCCTTTCCACTGCTATACACCTAAGGGTACACTGTTCTGGTAAAGGATACAGACCCATGCATCATACTGTGGGCCACAGTCTGCAAATAAGTGTCAAATATGGCCATATTCTGACACCTGAAGCAAAATTATTGGTTTCTTGTGCTACTATTCATGCATCTAGGAAATAGCTCAATGGGCTGGAGTAAAGCAAACTGTAGGGCAGAGACCTCTGGTTTGTACAAAACAGGTATAAATCAGAATTGTTCTGGTAATGAAGATAAAAACTCAAGGCAGGATTTAGCTCACTGTCAGTGCTTGGTGCCATGAAGATTTTCTTCCAGAGTTGCTGCCTGTTGATGGGACATCTCTATCGTGACCTCTGAAATTCCACTTTCTTTTCATCATTGCTATTCCACAATGCTAACCATACCAAAATTTCCAAGTATAAAGAGGACATAATCAGCTTTTTGGATCTTACAAATCAGCTTTTTTCCCTTGTTTGAAGGTTGCCATAAATATTGCAAGACTAAATAGTTTATTTACGATCATGAGGAGTGTTTCCTTCATTCATGAATGTTTTAATAATTCAAAAGCTCTGCCCTGATGGAGCACTAATCTCTTAACTGAGCAAAAGAATATAATGAGCTGTTTAGCCTCATGAAGTGCAGATTATGGTCTGGATAGGCAGCAAAACAACCAAAAGACAGACAAAATTCTAATTAAATAGTGAATTATTTGTGTAATTTTGAATTCCACTATATTTAATTTCTATTTTGATAGGCTTTTGCCTAAATCTTCAACAAATGTCACCAGCCACATATAGGAAACAGTGGAATAGTGTAAAGGAAGGTGGTATAGAAGAGTCACCCATGTAATTAGAAAAACTTTATAGTAACTTACAAGCCAATTATAACAAATATGTTGCCCAGTGTTTAATGGTTTATCTTTTAAGAGATGCTAATAGAAATGCAAAAAGAAAATGTAATTTCAGCTGTGCTCTGTAGCTTACAACCTGTAAAACTGTTAAACAATAATCTAGGTGATGTCGGAGAATGAAAACCATTGTGTTTAAGCATTGTGTGCTGTTTCGTTCTGCCTCAACTGATTCAGTTGAAGCATGTTTTCTATGTGCAACAGACTTCAAGATTACAAAACTGGCGTACGATCAAATAAATAGTTTTTCACAGCTTTAAAATACCTGCGAAGCAGACGAGAAATGAGAGATCCCACAGAACCAGGTGTTAGGGGCTCAGTGACTGGCTTAATACAAGAGTTTCTTGTTTACTTGCTTTCCTTCAAAGTATCAAGTCACTTGTGAAGAAAGTAAATGAACTAAGATGGTGAAATGGCCTGTGTTCTTGAAATTTCACACAGTCAATTTAGCTAACAAAAAAGTTTGAAGGGGATGCAAGGAAAACTAATCTTCAGCTGCAGTCCTTCTATGGAACTGAAATGATCTTAAAATCCTTGCTATAGAAAGAGCAATGAAACTTTCTCTCAAAATGCAGGGGTTGGTTAACTGTTCTGTAGCAGGCTTACAGCTGAACCTCCATAGGTGTGCCATGATAAACAAATACTCTTCAGAATATGTAATCTTAACAAAACCAGTTTTGGAGAATACACTGTTTGGGTATATGATGTACATAGAATAACTTTGAATCAAAACAGGTTGACATTTAGATATGGAATAACTGTGCTGCTGATTTATATGTTCCATTTTGACAGTGTCACCCTCCTCTATGGCACAAGAAATGGCAGTCACGCACTTTTCTCAAAGTGAAACAACAGTAGAGAGAAAATGACAAGAAAAATCGCTATACATGTAAGTGTATGCCATTATTAAATTAGTAAGTACTTTTATCAGTGGACAATGCAGAAAGTTCTACATGAAAGTGATACACAATATTGCAAAACTTCATTAAAGAAGATGAGAACTAGACAGGGAAACTGAAATTACAGTACAATGACAGCATTCAGAGATTTGAGTGAGGCATTCTTTGTGGTGTGTCTTTCAAAGGCACAGGGAAAGGGCATAAGAAAAATCTCAAGATCATTTAAACTTTATCAGACAACCTGTTGTGTATCCACAAGGCTCCTTAGTCTAACACCTTTATATGTTATACAAAACAAACAGGGAAAATAAGCAAATTATATAGTCTCTTTCACTGAGGGCATTTCATTCTTTTCAAAACAGTAAACTCCTTAATTAATACAATAAGTGTCAAAGCTGTTTGAAAACAGTAAACTCCCTAATTTCTGAAGTGGGCTGTCTGCCCACAGAGGAACATAACATGCACATCGTGAAGACAACCAGCTCATGATAGTCACTGCCTTAAAAAGTCAGCCTCTAGCTACTTTATGAGAGATGCTGTTATGTTAGTATTTTAGTGTACAGTTATGGACTGTATGGACGACAGTATGACGACACTTCATTCAGCACATTTTCTGAGCTTTGTCAGCACTTGATCTCAAATGCCTGATCATAAATATGCAACTAGTCCCATGTTAAGCTGGCACTTGAATTTATACTCACCGTAGAGCATAGCTCCTCCAGTTTCATGCAGAAAGCGGAATCGATGGTTTTTAAACAACCAAATTGTTAATATTGTAAGAATGAGCAGAAAGTTAAAGACTAGCAGTTCCACAGCTCCCTGATGATAAAACTGATCTTCATCTTTCACTGATACATATTTCTTCAACTTCTCCATTTCGCTCCCTTTGTGGTTGTGGGAAATATGTGCAAAATAAAAGAAGAAGAAAAAAAAAATCACAGGAAGGAAAGTATTATTGCCTTTGGTACAAAACCTCCAGATACTACAGAAATTCACAGCAAGCACATCTGTTTCATTTGCAGCCTCATGGTAAAGTGCCCCAGCTCAGAATTCAGCTGGATTCTAGTTACAGCTTCCTGTTTCTCTCTTAAAGCTGCCCTGTCTCATTTTGAATGTTACAGTTGCGTAGCCAGGCTGCGCTTGCTCTGGCTGTAGATGTACAAATCGCCTCCAAGGTTCAGGCTCTGTCAACCTCTAAAATTCTGTTGTAAAACTTAGTCCGTGTTCACAGTGTTTGTTCCTGTAGTTTACAGCGTAATCTGAATCCTAAAAATCATATTTTGTCTTGATAGTTTCAGATAGAAAAAATGAGATTAAAAAACAGCACAGCAACCTTCGTTGCATTTTTGAATCTTTCCCCTTTCCCACTTTTAAATGCAAGTGACATAAAATAAAGGTGGTGTTTTACTATGGTGCAAAGACAGAAGAAAACAAAATAAGGAATAAGGATTTCAAGATTTAGACCTTGAACTTCTTGTGATCCTACAGAAAGACTGAGCACTCTCTGTAAAAGCAAGGGTCCGGTTACCTGGGATTAAAAGCACTTAATCCCCCCATCAAAGTGAATAAATGAAATGTGGAATTTGCTTTCCATCATTTCTGCTGTTTGTATGATTTCATTTACATTACTCAAGCCAGGAAAACTGGAGAACTTGTCCTACAACTTATAGCTAATATGGAAGTTTTTCTGTCTGAGGTCAAGGCTGCAACACATGTGTTATACTGGAGAATTCCAAAATAAAATAAAAAAAAAAAAAAAAATACAAAAAACAGAAAACTGATTCTCACTAAAAAAAAGGACAATCTTTTTTTTTTTTTTTTTGGTCAAAATCTTATAAAATTTATTTTTAAAAAAGTCATTGGACCAAGCTAATCTGTACAGAGACCATTCCAAGTCATTTATCTGTCAAAGGTGAATAGATCATAAGTACTTAGATATGTAATTTCAAGGCTGTAGCTCATAATAATATGAGACCTCACCTGGAGTATTGTGTGCAGTTCTGGTCTCCTCAACATAAAAAGGACATGGAACTGTTGGAACAAGTCCAGAGGAGGGCCATGAGGATGATCAGGGGACTGGAGCACCTCCCATATGAAGACAGGCTGAGGAAGTTGGGGCTGTTCAGCCTGGAGAAGAGAAGGCTGCGTGGAGACCTCATAGCAGCCTTCCAGTATCTGAAGGGGGCCTATAGGGATGCTGGGGATGGGCTCTTCATTAGGGACTGTAGTGACAGCACAAGGGGTAACGGGTTAAAAGTTAAACAGGGGAAATTTAGATTGGATATAAGGAGGAAATTCTTTCCTGTGAGGGTGGTGAGGCACTGGAATGGGTTGCCCAAGGAAGTTGCAAGTGCTCCATCCCTGGCGGTGTTCAAGTCCTGGCTGGACAGAGCCTTGGGTGAGATGGTTTAGTGTGAGGTGTCCCTGCCCATGGCAGGGAGGTTGGGACTGGATGGTCTTGAGGGCCTTTCCAACCCTAACTATTCTATGATTTGATGAATGTTCCTGAGGAGGCACTCTTGCTTCAATCTATAGTGTTTTAAAATAATTTTACTATTCTATGGTTCTATGAATTCTGTCCTCCATGTAAACAAATTTTCTCACATTTTACAGGTTTTCATTTATTCTTTCACTTTGTATGAAAAGCAGTTTCCTTCTAGTTCTTTTTAAATTAATGCTTTACCTTCCTTACCAGATACCAGATTTTATTATTTTTTTTTAAGTATCACTGTTTTGTTTTGGTGTTGTTTTGGGTTTTGTTTTTTTTTTTTTCCCTTTGCTTTAGAGACACATTGAAGGCATTTTCAGGCTTCTTTTATGTAAGACAAGACATCTGTGTCAGAAAAAGCTTCACTGTCCCCAGGAATGAGAACTTAGACACTAGCAATGTTATTTCAGACATCACAAAACCTTGCCCTTGTTGAAAAACTTTGGGGGGTTTATGTCTGTTTGTTTTAACTGGGTTTATTTTTTCTATTTGTTTTAATTGTTTCTACTGAACTAAACACCACAAAGCCTGTTCCAAGATTCACTTTTTTGGTAGGTTATAAGTTTCTTAAGTTTGAGTCTTAACAACATAAGGGCTTCATAAAAGACTGTATATGAAAAGTAACACCAAGTGTCCCAGCTCTAAAAACTTTTCATCATGTGCTTAAGTCTTCAATTTTATCACTGAATCAAGCTGCACTTTCTGAATAGGTTTTGGACTTAAAAGTAATCTAGACTGTCTTGGTTTAAACTCAGTCAGTCAGCTCCTTCACTCACTCCCCCCCTTCTTTACCTCCCCCTACTCCTGGAGGAACGGAGAGGAGAATCGAAAAGAATGCAACTGCCAGGGGCTGAGATAAGAACAGTTTAGTAACTAAGGTATAACACAAATCACTACGGCTACCACCAGTAATAATAATGATAAAGGAAATAACAAGGGAAGAGAATACAACACCTCACCACCCGCCAACTGATAACTTCCCCCACCCCGCCTGACCAAGCACTGACCGATACCTAGTCCAGCTCCACAGTCCACTAGCCCTTCTGGGTAACTGCCCGCAGTTTATGCAGTGGGCATGACGTGCTGTGGTATGGAATACCTCTTTGGCTGGTTTGGGTCAGGTGCCCTGTCTCTGCTTCTTCCCGGCTTCGCCTCCTCCCTGGCAGAGCATGAGACTCACAAAGTCCTTGGCCAGACCAAACATTTGAGCAGTAACTAAAAACATTGGTGCTATCAGCACTGTTCCCAGGCCAAAAGTCAAAAACACAGTGCTTCATCAGCTACTAAGAAGGAGAAAAAATGACTGCTACTGCTTAACCCAGGACATTATCCACCCCTTATTCCATACCATTCACGTCATGCTCAGATCCCATGTTTTCAATATACCATCACTCTTATCTCAGTGCACTCTAATCTTAGTGCATGGACCAGTCCCTATAAAGCTGCTCAGTCCATCTGATCCGTGATGTTAGGCTCCATCTCTTGTAACAGTCTTTCGGGGCAGGAGAAGCTGTGTGCAGTGTTCACACTCGTGAATAACCTGGGCAATAGTGTCCATTGCTAAGTCCACCCCTCGATCATGAGTCCATCTCTATGTTGCATCTCTGCTCTGTTGGCCTGAAGTGCCATGGGCCCACCAGGCTCAAAATAATTCACTGTCTCCTTCAGCAGTTTCTGCAGCTTGCTGCTCCATACAGCTGCCTTCCATCTCCAACGCTTCCAAAGCACTGGAGAGGCCCAGTGGACTAGATACTTGCCCATACGAGACACAGACTTTACTGATAGTTAAAGGGCTATGTTTCTTAATATTGGCATAATAAAAAGGTGTTTATACTTCAAGAGTTTATTGCTGTAATGGAAAAGAGCTCTGAATAAAAGGTGATCTTAGTATTAGCTTTTGGCATTTGCTTAGTTACGTTAAGTTTCGTTTATAAATGGGAACTGGTGATAATGGCTGAGGACATTGTGAAGCAAAATTTTCAGATCTGAGTTTTAAGTTACTAATAACTTCTAAGGGGGCCAGATGTTCAGCTGCAGCAATCCACATAAAAGTTCACTTCTATATTATTGCTCTACAATAAAATATGCAAACATGTGAAGATATGATGATTAAGGAAAGCTAACTATCTGATGCAACATGTTGCAAGTGGTTATTTTATACATAAATTACTGGTGGAAATATACTGCAACTAACTGGTCCAGGATCTTAAGAATGCTTTTTGCTTTTAATAATCTGATGACATTTTGGCATGTATAAGCTACTCAGAAGTATGCCCCACATGTTCAGGGTCATACATGGAGAAAAGCTAATGTGAAACCTGTAAGTAATAAAAAAGCCTGAATTAAAAGTTTCAATCCAGTTAGTTTTGTTATATTTTGTGATGAATAGTATGACTTTATTCTCTGAATTATTGTTCTCTGTATACCATATTATTTTATTAGAAATACAGGTACACCTGTAGAACCAGATACCTCTTGAGCTAAATGAGACAAAATCACCTCTCCAGTGTTTCTGCATGAATGTTTTGTGAATTACGATTCTGGAAAAAAAACATGAGTCTGGATAGATGAGAAGTAGATGAGAAGCAGCTTTACTGAGAAAGTGGAGCTAGCTATGAAAAAACACAGAAACACGTATGGCCTCAGAGAACCTTATCAGTGTTTGGAAGATCTCATTTGAAAAACTTTTGGCACTGTGACCAGATAATCTGTTTAATCTTTCTGTGCTCAGGTCTTTCCATGTTCTTATACGTAACCACAGTTTCAGTAGTATCCAGGCCCTTAATCAATTTCCCCTCCTAACTGGAACAACCCCTCTCCAAGTTTTGGTTGGTTTGAAGGTCAGATAGAACAACAGAGTTTTGCAGTAGCTGCATCATATTTGCAATACTGATAATAAATGATAAATCATCATAAAGGAAGGAAGGGATATGGATAAAATAAAAAGTTACTTTTTGGCTTTCAGAACAGGCTATTTATTGGGTGAATGAAGAAAGTTTTCACAGGGAAGATATTTTGAGTATTATTTAACAGGTCAAATACAGAGCCAAAATAAGTTAAAGTTCCTGTTGGAAGGTAGTATGTCAACTAATTCTCATAATACCTTGCTCTTACTACAACTAATATTTGCTTCATCTCCCTTGGCATGTCATTTTTATGAACAGAGGTGGTAGCAGTCTTGCTTATTTTCTATGTTCACCTTATCAACTCTATGAATTCTACAGAATAATAATCCTTTCCTCCCTTAGCCTGGCAGATGTAGAGGTCTGCTCTTACAGAAACTATTAAGATTAAATAGAAAGCAGAAAAGGCCTTGTAAATCAGTAGAGAGATTCTCATCTTGGAAAATATAAAGTCAGAAAAGGAGCACAATGCAAAAATTGTAATTAATTATAGTAATTATTGGGAATTCCAAGCAGAGAGACGATGCTTTGACAATTATGCAAGCATAGGAAAAGTACAGCCAAAAGTAAAAACAAACATTGAAAACAGTGCACCTAAATACGTAAATAAAAACTGAAGCAAAACCAATTCTGAAACTGAGAAATCAACCACATTGCCAGTGCACAGATAAAAAATGTTCTGTCATAGCTC